GCTCGGCTCGTATCCCTGCAATTCTCCCAGCAATGCATGCAGCCTGTCAGTGAAATCCCCGCGCCGCCAAGCCGAGCCCCGCTTGCCCGGCCAAGTGATTCCCCGTACGAAGAGTGGGGAGTGAACTCAGGCCGTTCTCACGCACTCCAGGTGCCGCTGCACTATGCGAGCGATGGGGATGCCGCTCTGGGTGAGCGCTGCAAGGCACACCAACGCCCCCGTGCCCTTCTGGTCTGTCTTGCTGTCTATCCTCCGGATCAGCTTCGCGCGCGCGTTGTTTATCATCCCCCCGCACTTTCCAATAATCAATCTTCCTTAGAGCCCGGTAAGCTTAGTCTATGTAGCGCGAGACTCATAGACGTGTAGTCGTGGATTCGAGTCCCATACGCGGTGTTGATAAAGAATGTATTATGAAATGTAAGCTTACTAGTTGAAATCGGCGAGTATGGCCGCGAATGCTGCCAAGTGCGAGGTCCTTCACTTTTGGGGGCACTACACGTGAGCGAAAGCGGCTTATGGAAGCTGAGTATCGGTTAGGTGGGGTGGGGTTGGGGCGCTGACCGGCAACGAGACGGCACGGTACCTCGGGTTGCACTATGGCCCAGGAGTGCGGTTTTCAGCATGTACCAAGCAACTACTCGCAGCAGGGAGGCGGCCAGCACCCTGTGTCGAGATAAGAAAATTACCACCCCCAAGCTATGTATGTCTCTCTACAATACACTAGTTGTACCGGTGTTTTCTTAATAATATATCCGAATTCCGAATAAAAAATGTTCGTGGTCCTAAAAACTAGGAATGAATAATGTTTCCGACCGTACAAGTTCATTCCTCCAGCCAAAAATGGGCTGTCCATGCCAAAGCCGCTAGGATCTTACAGAAGACATACATATTAACCATATCATAGCAATGTCGCAACTCCGGTTGTCAACAGTGAGCGGGCCAAGCGTCAACGTTCTTCATATGGAGACATCGTGATGGGCCGGAAAACGGGCGTCGAGTTTGATGGCAGCAGCCACCCCGGCGCTGCAGCTAAGACTCCTAACCCCACACTCTGTGGCGCAAAGACACCCCGACTGCAGACACAGCGGATCGTGAAGGGGCAGAGCGACGGCGCGTGGCTGGAAAAGAAGGACAAGTATTCCTTCAACTGGCAGCTGTACCCCGGAGCCATGTTAGTTTGGGCTGATGTGCGGTGTTTTCCTTTCCTTCGTGGCTTTTAGGCGTTGTAGTATTGCCCTTGGGCCCTCGGCTCCTATGGGTAGTCTTACAGGTATGGGGTCATGCACGCCCAACCATGTAAAACACACACACACACACACACACACACACACACACACACACACACACACACACACACACACACACACACACACACACACACACACACACACACACACACACACACACACACACACACACACACACACACACACACACACACACACATGGACGCAGTGCATTATGCATATCTGGAGATATTGTGGTGTGCACGTATTGTGACATTCCCCAAACCCGGTGTTTGTATGAACTAAACTGTAACTCATCGGGGGGTGTCTGGGGGGGGGTGTAGCCCCCCCCAGCGCCTTACAGATTAAGAATACTTTTATTCCCGCGACTAATAATCTATTTATCCGT